CACCACCACTCACAAGTCCTCGCCTCCCGACATCCTGAACCACAGGCCATTGCCACTGAGTCAACCCTAATTCACACAATCCCATAGGTGTCAGGGTAAAAGTACAGCATTTTCAATGGCTGATATTTTATAAGTAGATTATCAGATCATTTTGGGGGATTTTTTCCCCTAAGAGCCTCTGAGTAGATTTGAACTTCTAATCTTTTCTTTAGCAGCCAAGTGTGTTGCAGAACCAACCAAAAATCAACTCTTGTGCCATCAAGTTAATTGCAACTCACGGGCTTTGTAAGGCTGTATTTATACAGAAGGAGAGTCAAACCACTTACCTGTTGGCTAGCAACTGAGTCTTTCACCACGTCACCACCATCTTTGGGCCACCCTCTAAATCCTTACCCAATACCAATATTCTCACGCGATTAACATCTCATCTAAAATTTAGATAGCTAAGCCTGTTTTTCTTGGTGTAATGTGCACCTGATCCAGGCCATGGCCTTCGCAATTACTTAATATGCATCAGAAAGCTGGACAATAACTAAGAATTATAGACGGAGGATAGGTTCCCTCGAGTTGTGGTGCTGGAGAAGAGTATTGAACATACCATGGGCTGCTAGGAGATCAAGAAGGTTTGTCTTGGAGGGAGTGAAACCAGGCCGCTCCTTGAAGGCAAGGATTCTGAAGCTCCATCTAACATACTTTGGGCATGTTGCAAGGAGGGACCAGCCCTTGAACCATCATGCTTGGAAGGGGAGAGGAAAACCCAGGTTGAGATGGATTGACTCAGTGACTGGAGAAATAGAATTAGGTCTGTTGTCGATGATGAGATTGGCTCAAGATAGGGTTGGATTCAGAGTTAATGTACATAGATGGGGTTACTATGAGTCACAGGTGACTCAATGGCACATAACAACAAAACAACATAAGCCTGTTTTTAAAAGAGTCACAGAATGAAAACAGGAGGAAAAAGTTGAAGACATTTATTTACAGATTGGAATGGATCAGGAGAAAAATCACAATATTCATAAATTCATTTTCTTCACTAGATGTTCTAGCTCTTCTGATGTGTTTTCTGTCCAGAGAGAAAGGGCAGGGGAGGTTTGACTCCTGAGGCAGCTTAATGTTCTCACCTAGAAAGAGAAGAAGGACGTGGGATCCCTGGGGTCATTTAAGGACACATTCGAGATGGTGGGAGGGCTTGCTCAACCACTCAAAGGTGCTAAGTTCTTGAATAAAGAGAGAAAGTATGAAGAAGCAGTCTTAGGAAATACAGATGCTGTCCACCCAAGACTTAAAGAGGTGAGGACAAGCAAGGGCTCTGGAGGGAGGCTTTAGGGCTGTGTTAGACCTCAAGCTGATCTAAAGAAGTGTGTGTGTGGTGAAGCAGAGAAGGAAACAGTCCACCCACCAGTTAAGGAGGAAGTCTAGTCAGAGCTGTAGCCAACTGAGGGCTCAGGGCCGAACCCAGGAACATTCACAGACATTCATAGACAGCTATGCATTGAGCATTTGTTGTTGGAAAGCATTGAGTTGGAAAGCAGGTTTTCGGAGGCAGATAATCACATAGGAGGAGACAGCCTGTCCTTCTCCTGCAGAGCTGGTGGATTCAAACCACCTGCCTTTGGGATTGCAGCTCAGCTTCTTACCACTAGGCTACCAGAGCTTATAATAATCAATGAAGTATACCCCATAGACTCTTTAAAAACAAAACAAAAATTAAAAAAAATTTAAAAAAACAAACAAACCTAGAATAGTGGAGTTAGATAGAAGCGATTGTAGAAGAACACAGGCAATGCATAGAAATACAAAGAAAATTCCAAAGAACATTGACTTGTGTCTCTCTTATCTGCCCCAAATCCTACACCTAGTCCCTGTGGTGATAACCCCTTTTGGAAATGGTTTTCTTTATTATGCTAATTAGACAATATTAATGTAGGCTGTTGTTATTAGGTGTCCTCAACATGAGTAGGACACAGAAGTGACCCTATGATGGACAGATCTGAGCCCTGTCCTATCAAGTGCCATCGTCATCGTCATCATCTCTGACACCAGAGATGTCACCCATGTGTCACCCACTCGTATCCATGGCTACAGTCACTGTGTAATCCGCCTGGTTGAGGGTCTTCCTCACGCTCACTGTCCCTCCACCTTTCCAAGCATGAGGTCCCGTCTGCAAGGAATAGCCTCTCCTAGCAACACGCCCAAAATACGCTGTTTTATCATCTTTGCCTCTAATTAGTGTAGGAGGTGCCTTAATCTCTCTGGAGACATAAAGGAGCAGAGCTAGGGAAGACAGAAGCCCTATCACATGAAAATGCCTGAGAGTGTGGGGCCAATTTCTCTTTCCAAGCCACCCCAGAGATCAAGAAGAAAGCCTCCCAGTGGCATCTTTCACGAAGCAGCACCTCACTAGTGACCGTTCCTCTAGTTAAGAGCGTGCCCAGTGACTTATTTCAGATGCCAGTCTTTAAACAATTAGAATGTGCTTAACTTAAAGTGAAAGAGTCTTTCATCTGTTCAAAGCACACACACACACACAGGAGAAAAAAGCTGTGAGCACTTAATTCTGCTGGCACAGGGAGGCAATGGCAGGGAGCCTCCAGACAGCCTGACCCAGCAGCAGAGGCACCGCAGGTAACTTCCCTGCACTGGGATCGCAGCCAGTGGGTCGGTTCTGACTCAATGGTAGAACAGCGACAGTGAAGAACAGTCTACTCCTGCTTGTGGGGTGATTGGCTGCATGTCGAGGCAGGCTCTAAGGGGCACGACTCCTGGGCTGAGGCATCAGTAGTAAGAAGAGTTAGCCAGGGAGACCTTCCGGTTAGAAGTTGCTGCAGGAGAAAAAGCAGACACTCTGAGATTTGGAGCTTAGGGGCGGATGGATATGAGAGCTGTGAAGCTTGAGAGATGGACAAGAGGTCAGATGATGAAGACCTCTGTGGGCCACACCAAGGAGCTAGGACTTTATCGACGAGGCATGCTGTTGCTGGTGTTCTGTGCTGTTGAGTTGGAAATCACTCAGAGCTGACCCACCGGAGGGTCCAGAAGCTACAAGTTACATGCGTGAGAGGAGACGGCTCTTCTTTTCTCATCAGAACAGACTGTGGATTCAAACTGCCTGCCTTTGGGTTGGCAGCCTAACTCCTTACCCACCAGGCCATCGTGCAGTGTTAATAAACTGTGACGCCCATTGAAGTTCAGGTTTTGTTATTAACTTGAGTGCATACATGTAAAAATGTCCCCTGAACAGATACCTCTGCTTGCACCCTATCTAGAATTGATTCCTTTGAAGGGTGCCCTTCCTTGTGTCCCCCTAGGACCTGGGCCCCTAGAAACAGCAGCATTCGTTCCTGGGTGTTGGGAATCTGCTGGGATTTCCAAATTATAAACATTCGGCTTACAAGCCGAATATTTGCCCCTTAATGTTCTGTAAAAGTGTCCTGAGCAGAAACTATAAAACCAACCTCCACTTGCAGTGAATTCTTCTTCGTAACCACTTTCACTTGCTACTCATGTAGCTTTCGAGTCGTTGAAAACTCTTCAGGCCCCTCCTGGCGCCAACTCGAAGCCCACTGTCCTGCAGTCAGTCAGGATTCACACAGTTGCCTCGGGCCTGGGGGGGGCGGTCTCTAAGTTGTTCATCTTTATGGAAGCAGACTGCTAGATCTTCCTCCTACAGAGTGACTGGTGGGTTTGGACCTCGGACCTTTTAGCTGACAATCAAATGCTGTATTTAGCATTAAGGTGACACAGGAGACTCAACGAAGCTGTGTGCGTCTGGTCAACCAGCCCTCCAGGTCCAGCTCTGTAGAGCACTAAAGGCACAATGCTCTTCTTCCTCTGGGCTTGGAGTCCACCTTTGCACATCTGTCCTCCATCCCATAAATGAAGCAGCATCAGAGCATGTAAGTGAGAAAGAAGCAGAGTCCCTTTAAGTTTAAAGATAAACCTGAAGACGACATGCAAGGCAGACAGCATGAGATCAAGGCTCCAGGCAGGGAAGCAACCAGTGGTGGCAGATGAGGGGTGTCAGGAGATGGCAAAGGACAAAGAAAAGTGAATCATATCCCCAAGGTTTTCAGCTCAAGCAAATGAGAGGAGTGCTGTTGTCTTGCACTGAGATGAGAGCTTGGACAGAGGTCGAGTTTCAGGAGGTTATAGGATGTCAGTCGTAATGTACAGACAGCAGTTCACATAAGCATCTGGATAGCAGGGCGGAGCATGGTGAGAGACGCGTGTTTGGTAGTTACAACATCACTGAGCGGGAGCTGGGGTGGCCCAGCTGGTAGGGAGTTGCACTCCCAACTCAAAGGCAGGTGGTCTAACCCCCCCAGATGCTCTGCAGGAGAAAGATGGATGATCCACTCCGTGCAATCCACAGCCTCTGAAAACTCACTGGAAGGTCAACAACGAGTTGGCTCTGATTCCACGGCAGTGAGCGAACAAGCAACATGGTCAATAGTTAAAGTCACTTATGTAGAAAAGGTGACAAATCTGTAACAATTGGAAAGAATCTAAGGAGAGCACAGGTGGTTCACTAGTCCCGACATGGTGGGGAGGGAGGTCAAGGCCAGGTGGTCACTAGTCCCAACACGGTGGGGAGGGAGGTCAAGGCCAGGTGGTCGCTAGTCCCGACACGGTGGGGAGGGAGGTCGAGGCCAGGGGGTCGCTAGTCCTGACATGGTGGGGAGGGAGGTCGAGGCCAGGTGGTCACCAGTCCTGACATGTTGGAGAGGGAGGTTGAGGCCAGGGGTCGCTAGTCCTGACACTGACATGGTGGAGAGGGAGGTCGAGGCCAGGTGGTCCCTAGTCCTGACATGGTGGAGAGGGAGGTCAAGGCCAGGTGGTCGCTAGTTCTGACATGGCAGGGAGGGTGGCGGGGGCCAGGTCTGCTTTCACAGATCTGAAGTGTTCACTGAGGTGACTGGATGCATGACTGTGTATGGGAGGTGGGCAGGGGGAGGCAGCAGTCGTGTGAAGGCTAGGACAGGGACGGCAGGGTGCGGCTAGGGGACAATTCGAGGGCCACCTGTCTGGCTGTTCACCAGCAGGTGTGGAGACTTGATCACAGCAGAGCCTAAAGGTACAAAGGCCAAGTGAACAAGACTGACGGTGGGGTTTTTTTGGGGTGAGGGGCAGGAGAGCAGAGCGGGTGAGGAGTAAGAGAAGGGGATCCTCAGGGCAGAGAAGGAAGTGCGTGTTGCACACCCGTGGATGCATGAGAGCAGCACCTGTGGGGAAGTCGTGTGCCGCCCGGAGCTCCTGCCACACGGGCACAGCTCCTTTCATTGTGCTGCTATGCAGATGCTGTACTTCTTTTACAAATTAAAGGTTTCCGGTAACCCCACCTCCAACAAGTCAATTAATACTATTTTTCTAATGTCACTTTTTGGGAATTCTCCCAGTTTTTAAATAATGCTATTATACACTTGGTTTTGCCCTCTCTGGGACAGACCAGCTTGTTAAAACTCCATCTCACATACGTTGACCACGTAGCCAGGAGGGACCAGTCCTTGGAGGACATCATATTTGAAAAGGTAGAGGGTCAGTGCAGGAGAGGAAGACCCTGGGTGAGATGAATTGACACACACAGTGACTGTGACAACAGGGTCAGATGTGTCAGAGACAGTGAGGTTGGCTCAGGACCGAGCAGAGCTCAGAGCCATCATTCATAGGGTTGCTAGGAGTCATAGTTGACTCTATGGGCTATAACAACAACAACATTGTACACTTAATAAAGTACAATATCGTGTCGGTGTAACAAGTCATGTACTTGAGAACCAAAACTCTCCTGTGGCCCCTCACTGTTATATTTGCCCTTTTTTTGCAGTGGTCTGGAGCGAATCTTGCTCTGTCTCCCAGGCACGTGTGTGTGTGTGTGTGTGTGTGTGTGTGTGTGTGTGTGTGTGTGTGTGTGTGAGTGCACATGCGCGCTCACCCTTTCAACAAGGGTGCTTTACCTCAGGGCTGTTACTCCCAGCCAGTGTATGTCCTTGTCCTGAATGGGCGGGCTGGGGACCTTCTGTTCCCACGAGGAAAAGACCTTCTCATGATCTCTGAGGATGAAAAGAGGATGCTTAGACTCTGTCAAACACATCAAGATCCAAAGAAGCCCGGACAATGTGACCATAAGGATATGATGAGTATGCTTCTGACTGGCCTCACCAGAACCCAGCCCGCCAAGCAAAACCCCAGGAACGTGACCACTGCCTCCTCCTTACCAGCCTCCATCCACCCCACAGCCTCCTCGACCATGCGGCTTAGATAACTGACCCCGTTCAGCTTCTTCTGTTCTGTGTTACCAGATGGGATGTTCTTATCCTTCAACCAGTGAGAGCCCATCGAAGACAGGACTGTCACCTTCCTCTTACTGTACCCACGGGTCTGCCCAGAGTGGGTCACCCACAAGGCAGTCCTAACACATGTACTGAATTCAGAGTGGTGGCTGCATAGCAACCCCAATGATGCGCCCAATTCTCAAACTATTAGCATTCAGCCCTGCAATTACCTCTGTTGTTGTTGTTGTTGTTATGTGCCGTCGAGTCGTTTGCGACTCATAGCGACCCTATGCACAACAGCCCTAAACCCTGCTCTATCCTGCGCCAACCACACTGCCTCTGACACACCCATCCCAATTACCCCAGTCACCGAATCAATCCATCTCATAGTGAGTCTTCCCCTCCTGCGCTGTCCCTCCACCCTCCCAAGCATGATGTCCCTCTCCAAGGACCGGTCCCTCCTGGCAACATGCCCAAAGTATGTCAGACGAAGCCCCAGAATCCTTGCCTCCAAGGAGTAGCTTGGTTTAATCCTCTCCAAGATGAATCTGTTTGTACCCTTCTCCAGCACCACAGCTCAAAAGCATCTACTCTCCTTCTGTCCTCCCTAGTCATTGTCCAACTCTCTGATGCATAACAAGCGATTGCAAATACCATGGCCTGTATCAGGCGCACCTTAGTCTCCAGCAAGACACTGTTGCTCCTGAGTACTTTAGAGAGGTCCCTAGTGCACATAAAAGACTATGTCAATTAACTTAAATCTTTCCGGCATTTTATTTACTTTCATCCTAAGGAGAACTTTTCCAACACGGTAACTAGTATCCACGATAGTCTCCAAGGACCATTACCTCTTGGTTCTCAGACCCCAGGTAATCAATTTGCCCTAACGTTGCACCAAGTTGGTCTAAGTGATTAACAAGGTAGGCATGGTCACCCATTACTCATAACAATAGCTTATGAAAGTTTGTGTCTTATGTCCCGGGAGCTCTCTTTGCTCTCTTTCTCTTTCTGTCTGTCTCATATCTTACTCTGAGAGAATCCAGTTGTCATGTTTTGAGAACATTCAAAGAGAACAACCCTGCAGAAATTCCAACAGGACAAAAAACGATGGCCTCAGCACTGAAAACCGGAAGCTGACAACAATCAGGAGAGAGAGCCCGGAAGTAGTGATGGGCAGGCAGGGGTCGGGGAGCGGTGGGTTCTTGAATGAGCTCCTCACTGTACTGGGGCAATGCAAGGTCACGCTCTCCTGGCATCTTCATTCACACTCTTCTAATTCAGGGGCTGGATTCTTGTGGAACAATTTCAACAGTCTATGATGATCAGGAAGGTGTCTATAGGAGTCCTAAACCAAAAGAGAAATAAACCCACTGCTACCTGGCTGTTCAAATTCAGCGATATTGGAGGAAGCAGAACGGCCTGCAGGGCCCCTATGGCTGCATGTTCCTACAGAAGCAGGCTCCTTCACTTGTCCTGAGAAGCAGCTGCTGGCTTCAAACCACTGACCTTGAAGGTGGCAGCTGAGCGCTTTACCACTGCACCCCTAGGGCCCTTATGGTGTTCCCATAGGAGAAACTCAAACCGCTTACCTGGTGACCTTTCATACAACTGTCCACGTCTAGATTCATCAGGAATAAGACCTGTAATGCAGGGACAATCATGAGGTGCCCGCCTCCCTCCACGTGCATAATGGTCAGTGGTTTTAGTCTTTAAAAGACACAGCAGTCATTTGTCTGCGCGCTGAACAACTTGGAGTTGCTGCGATGCTGAACACTGTTCCATAACAAATTCCACAGTGGTTACCCATACAGTGTTAGATGATCTCCCAGATTGATTCATGCCGGGAGGCAGGAGTGGCATCCACTTCCTAAACTAGGTGCCTCTGGAAACTCTACAAACTCTTATAAATGTACAGAAATGATGTTAATTATAGCACAGAGTTCAGGTCTTTTGTTCAAAGCTTGCTCTGAGTCGTATTAACTTGACACTTAACCACTGCTAAATGAGACTAGTGCTGTTCTATCTGGAAGAATATTCTTCCACTTTGCACATCATTCTTTGTCAATGTGCTGCATGAAGTAACCTTGGTTTGCTGTGATGCTGAACCTTGTGCCATTAAGGTATCAAATACCATAGTGGTTTCCCATTGTGACCAGTGTTTGGTGGAGCTCCCAGTTGTAAAACAGGTTTGGAAGCAGCAACAGTGGCATCCACTTCCTAAACCACATGCCTCTGGAAACTCTAGGAACTTGGAGGAAGAATGATAGCTCTGGAAAGACATTAGATCTTTGGTTCATAGAATCGCTGAGTTGACCTCGACTCGACAGCAATCAACAACAAAAACAACAAACAGCACAAATAAGCTTCCTCTATAAAGAGGCAAAAACATCAGAGTTTTGCTACCATCCCAATAAATAGGGCAGAGTCTTGGTGGTATTAAAACAACTCCAAAACTGCAAAGCACTGACCCAAACTGACCTCCAGTAAGAGGCCCAGCAAGAAGAAAGGAGAGTGGGCTCTCGCCTCCCACCAGGGCATCTGAAGGTATGGTCCGCTCCTGCCACTCATGGTGGAGGATAGCCCTGACTGGTGGGATGAGTTCAGTGCTGGACTCTCAGCTACATGTTACTGCGTATCTGAGTCCACAGATCAGGCCCAGCATCCCGGAGGGGACAAACACGCTCAAGCCGTGGGAACTTGGGTCACTTCCACTTCACAGAACAGACTGTCTGTGGGAATAGACACCTTCTCTTTCTCCCGCTGAGTGCTTGCTGGATTGAAGATACCAACCTTTGCGTTAACAACCCAACACATAACTCATTATGCCACCAGGACTCCTTGAGAACAAGGAGCTCTGGACAGTGATAAAGGGGCGTCTGGATGAATTGGCCATTGCTGCCTAGTGTGAAGAGGAGGCAAGAGTAAGGTTTAGGGAGCTCCGGAGGCTGAGCGGGGAGGAGTTGTGCTGCCAGCGCAGAGAGCAAGGCTTGCCTTCTTCCTTTCTTTATATATAT